TACTTGTACTCTACTGCTGATTTTTTTTTTTTTTTAATTTGAGACTTCTGTTTTGTGGAAATACTGGCCATTAGTGAATAAAATAGTGGATTATTTTTTCTTAGAGTTTGTCGCTTTATAACTGACAGCAAGAATTCAGAATTTAAGCCTCGGCCACTCCACTAAAGTTCTAAAGACACTATTTCTTCTCATCTAGGTTGATACTAGATAAATATAATCTACTAGGAAGTTGAAGAATGAGCCATAAATATCTCCACTGGCATTCTTTAACTTAAGCACCTTAAAGCTATGGGAAACTTTGCCCAATTCCTTTTATTTATTTTTAAAATTTTTTACTTGTTTTTACTCATTCATGGGTAAACAACAATATAGAGTAACCAATTTTTATTTGGGGGCATATATGTACATCACTCATTTTAAATCTACCACAAAGTATTTCGATTGTAATCCATTATTCCATGAGTTCTTTATTTTATTTATTTATTTGGAGAGAGAGGGAGAGAGAGAGAATCCCAAGTAGTCTCTGTGTGGTCAGCATGGAGCCTGATGCAGGGCTTCACCTATGAACCGCAAGATTATGACCTGAGCTGAAATCAAGAGTCTGATGCTCAACCAGCTGAGCCACTTGGGTGCCCCTAGGTGATTTCTTTAAAAGAAAAAAGTTTAAGGAGTCTTTAAGAGTGGTAATGGAACTTGTCAGTAAGCAAGCATTAGACTAACTGGTGATCAGTTACTAACTTGATAAAATGAAGGAGAAAATAAAAATAAACACATATTCCTCAGCGCAAAATAGTGATATGTGGTCCACGGCATGTGCCTGTAACAAGGTAATCCCTACTGTTTCCAAATTGCATTCTTAAACAACAACAAAAAAAGATGTTAGGACAAAAAACACCACTCAGACTAGCTTATGCAATGAAGAGTTATTGGCCCGTATAATTGGTAACAACAACGCTGGAATGAGCTTAAAATAAATGAAATAGACATTCTAATTATGTTGTCAGGACCCTTTCATCTCCTGGCTTTGATTCTCTCTGTGGATCCTCTTCTGATGTAGATGGGCTTTCCTTCAAGTGGTACTAATAGTGGTGGTGGCAGAGGGGACTTTTTGAGGTGGAAGATGAAGTGACAGCTTCAGAATTATGTTGTTCCAAAGGGAAGTGAGTAAACTCTCCCAGAGACCTTCCACATTAAGGTAGTCCTATAACTTACTCACTCTTCGTTAAATCAGCTTTCTCTTTTATAGCCTTTATCATAAATTATCTCATTTGTTTGCTCACCTGGTTGCTTTTCCTCCCCACTACAAGGTAAAATCTGTTAGAAGCAAGAATGGTGCCTGTTTTGTTAATTACGTCTCAGCATTCAGTAGGCACTCAGGACATAGTAAGAAAAAAAATACAGTAAAACCTTGGTTTGTGAGCATAATTCGTTCTGGGAACATGCTTGTAATCCAAAGCACTGGTATATCAAAGCGAATTTCAGAACCATTGGCTCAGTTGTGATCATGTGATGTTTGGTGTCTTGTATTACTTGTATTGCAAGACATCACTCATTTATTAAATTAAAACTTACTAGACATGTTTGCTTGTCTTGTGGAACACTTGCGGAACAAGTTATTCACAATCCAGAGTTTTACTTGCACATGAAATTCCGGGAGAGGAAGTAGGTTCTGCTCAAACCATTTGTCATCATGTAGTCTGGAGGGTAGGATACTGTTGATTGATAGACCTACCAGAACTGCATGGAATAGAGGAAGAATGTGTTTACGCAGGAAATGGAAATTCATATAAATTTTTATTTTAAAGTGATCTCTACACCCATCGTGGGGCTTGAACTCACGACCCCGAGATCAAGAGTCTCAAGCTCTACTGGCTGAGCGAGCCAGGTGCCCCTGAAATTTGTACAGTGCTTCACAGAAAAAGGTAGCCCTGAGAATGGAGGCTTGGGCTGGGTTTCAGCCCTATTCCATGGTCTCTGTCAACAGAGACCCTGATGAGTATCTATCTCTCCATCTCAGTTTCTGAATAGCTTATGCATAAATGAGAGTATTAAGAACAAAAGTATGAGCTAGACATGTCTTTGCATCTGGATCGCTCTTGGCCAACACCGTGTAGACTGTGCTTAGCCATAAAAATATTCTAACAGAGATGTCTTGAGAAATTCCTCTCTTCCCCACCCCTACCCTCTCCTTTATTTTTCTATCTAGGGTTAATTGGTCAAGTTTCCCAAGGACACATTTTGAGTTTTCTGAACTTTAGGGTGACTGGATGGTGGTACAGATGCTACCGTCCTTCTTTCTGGTTTATTTACATTTCTCCACATTTCTGTTTTGATCAACCTGATAATTCTACTTCAAAAGGAAGAAACTCCCTGTATATATCACAGGCCCTTCAGTAGAATAGATTTGTCTTAAAACTCAATCCCTTTGGGGTTTGTTTTATATTTTATTTAGTTGAGGATCTCTTTGAGGCAGTGAAATGCACACTCTTTAAAAAGGGGCAATGGCCCCTGGGTGGCTCAATCAATCAGTCAAGTGTCCCACTCTTGATTTTGGCTCAGGTCCTGGTCTCATGGTTTGTGAGATCCAGCCTTGTATTGGGCTCTGTGCCAATAGCACGAAGCAGCATGGGATTTACTCTCTCTCTCTCTCTCTCTCTCTCTCTGATTCTACCTCACTTGTGTGTGCTGTCTCTCTCTCTCTCAAAATAAATAAATAAATATTTAAAAAAATAAAAAGGGGCAAATAGGTTGAAGGAACAGAAACCTGCTCAATCTTTTCATATAAGGCTGCTGGGAATCTCGTAAGTTCCAGAAGTACAGCTCAGCATCTCGACATGAAGGGTTTTCAGGCTGCTGTTCTGCCTGTCTTTCTCTTTCTGGGACTACTTGTTTTCTCCTCTGCTTTAGTCTCGACATTGGTTTTACTCTGGACACTGATTCTCTTTAAACACTGACTTTTCTCTATATGCAGATCAACCTGCGAGTGGCAAAAAAAAAAAAAAAAAAAAAAAAAAAAAAAAAAGCAACTAGTACTTAATCTACTCATTGGATTCTCAGGACAAGTCAACAAGAAGTCCGCACTGTAATCCCTTGGGGAGCTTAAAAAGAAAGATATACAGGCCTCAAATAACAGATATTCCGAGTCAGGAGGTCTGGAGTCCTAGAATCTATTTGAAAACGTTCCCCAGTAGGAATTCCAAGAGCCCCCACAGTCACAATAGGGAAGGAAGAAAAGTGAGTGAATGATGAGTAGATGAGACAGGCTCTCGCACCTGCTTGTCCCCTCCGTAGCTCCTTCTCTTTTTCTGTGTGCCATTTCTTGCTGTTGATTTTCCTATGCCAGGAGAGGAGATAGACATTCTAAGGAATTGAAAACAAATATTGAAAGATGTAATAGTTTTCACTAAAAGCAGCAGTACGGGCAGCAGTCATTCTTACTCTCACCTAGTGGGTGGGCAGTGGGTCATCTGTCCCTTATCAAATAAGTGCCGATTTCTTGATCGCGGATGCTCTTGCAAGTATAAGGCAGGCCTGAGTGTTCTGACCTGAGGCCTTTAGACCCATTGCAGTAGATTGCTCTGAAAGCCTCTGCAGCTACGGCAGCAGCGGTTCACGTAGGGCCTCTCATGCTATGGGGCGGGGCCGGGAAAGGAACTGCAGCTCAGTGCCCGTCACTCTCAAACCAGCTACAGCTGTGTCTGTGTCTCTTCGTTCAGTCTTTAGAGAGAATTTGGTCACTGGCCAGCCTGTGAGGGCTGGCTCTACTCCGGGCAGTCTACAAAGAGCAGACTTTGTGAGAAGAGCATTCAGTTATAAGTGCATTACAAGCTTTCTTTTGGTTGGCTTGCAAAGTAGATCTTTCAGTAAGTATTTGTAAAATAAATGCCCTGAACAGTATTTAGGATATTTACCAAATGTTTTTATGGCAAAATTATCATTGTCTCCTCATATTTAATAAAAATAGCATTTTGATAAAATATATATTATTCAAGTTGTAAATAAAGTTACACGGTTTATTATTTAAAACATGATGCCATATACTTTACCTTTTATTATGTACTGACGTATGTAAAGAGTTGTAATGATTTGATTTTGAGACCTCCCTGTAAGTAATAGAAGCCATCACTTTATTTAATAAATTTGTCCACTGTAGGACTGCAGGGACATTTGATGACTTTACATAGGTATCAGCTACATTAAGTATGCAAAGATGAGAAACTTGACAAAGATTGGGCACAATAGCCCTGTACTGTTTTCTGTGTACAAAGTAGTTGTATGGGTCAAAACGGGTATGTGTTAAGGCCACAAAGTATAGTGTCCCTATACCTTAGGGTTGGTTTAAGAGCGTATGTGTTTTCGGGGCGCCTGGGTGGCTCCGTCGGTTAAGCGTCCGACTTCGGCTCAGGTCATGATCTCACAGTTTGTGAGTTCTAGCCCTGCGTCAGGCTCTGTGCTGACAGCTCGGAGCCTGGAGCCTGCTTCCGATTCTGTGTCTCCCTCTCTCTCTGCCCCTCCCCAACTTGTGCTCTGTCTCTCTATGTCTCTCAAAAAATAAATACATGTAAAAAAAAAAAATTAAAAAAAAAAAGAACATGTGTTTTCTATGAGAATCTTAAGTATGAAGACAGTTAATCTGATTTTTAAAAATGATTTTGTTTTCTTCTTTTCAGATCCAATCCCTCTGTGGACCTTCTAAACATCTTTTACTAGTAGAAACGTTATTTCCTACAAAATGAAGTCAGCGTCTTAATTTAAACCAGCATTTGTGTGGTTCTGACTTTACCTGCTATGGTTTGTGAAGCTTGAGATCTAAGGAGTACAGGGTCTTTTGTGATGACAATATGACTAATAGTAAAGGAAGATCTATTACCAGTAACACGAGTAGTGGTCCAAGTAGTGGAGGAGGTTTTATAGACTGGACTTTAAGCTTAAATACAATTCAATCTGATAAGTTTTTAAACTTATTGTTGAATATGGTTCCAGTAATTTACCAGAAAAACCAGGAAGATAGGCACAAAAAAACCAATGGCATTTGGCAAGAGGGATTATCAGCTGCAGCCCAGACTTTTAGTAATCGATCTGAGCAGCACATGGAGTATCACAGTTTCTCAGAGCCGCCTTTTCATGCCAACAGTGGGCACGCACCGTCAGGCTGCAGCCCAAAGTATGATGACTATGCCAGCTACAATTACTGTGATGCAAGGGACGCTGCGGAAACAGCTGCCATGTTACAGAATGAAGCTGCATCTAGTGATGGCGACGAAGATGCCACTGTGGAAGTAAACCAGAAGTCACCAAAGGAATCCAGTGGCATCATGGCGCTGCAAATACTTGTGCCATTTTTGCTAGCTGGTTTTGGAACGGTTTCAGCCGGCATGGTTTTGGATATAGTCCAGGTGGGTTTATCATTTTATCTTCACCATCTTTGTTGCTTTAGGTGCTTTAGGTGGGTTACTCATCTCACACATTTACTTTAGATCTAACTTATCCCTTAGTGAAATGAACCCATGCTGGCTCGGGCAGCGAATCTGCTACTTCTAGGTATGTGTTTGTTTTCCTTTACAAGTTCTGCGAGAATGGTCTCATTCTGATTGTAAAGTAACCCTTCATAAAATATTACAATAATAAAGCAACCCCAAAATGGATAAATCAATTAAATGCAAAACCCAATAAATGTTATATTTAAATGCCTCTTTACTTTTTGAATAAAATCATATACTTGTTAAAATGCATGAAAACCATGCAGGGTATTAAATACAAGATAAAAAGTCTTCCCTGTTCTTCCTCTTCAGACCAAACTCCCTTCCCCTCCAGAGGTTACCGTTGTTCAGAATTGGTTGTGTTTACTTGCATATGTTTTTCTGTTTTCATATATACACAAGCACAGTTTCTTTTTCAGAAATAAAAATGAAGTGCCATATATATCTGCAAATTATTTTCATTGCTTAATAATACATCTTACATATTTTTCCAAACTAGTAACAAAGATATTCTGCATTTTAAAATGAGAACTTGATATTCCATTGTATGTACATACCAAAGTTTATTCACTCTCCCATGCTCGTGCTATAATGAATGCTCTTAGAAATATATTTACACTATTTTCATAGGCTAGATTTTAAAAATGGGATTGCTGGGAATTAGGGTAGGTGTATATGTTTAAAATTTTATTAGACACTGTCCTATTGACTTTCAAAAAGTTTGTGCCAGTTTATAATCCTCTCAATATATAAGTACTTTCATTTTTCTATGTCCTTATCAATCCATGTTGAACATTCTTGATCCTTTTCATTTTTGGCAACTGATAGGAAAATGTTTTCATATTTTAATTAGCAGCCTTTTAAAAAAAGTAACTTCTTTATTATTAATGTTTAGTGTGTTTTCATATGTCTGTTGACCATTCTTAGTTGTTCTATGGATATTTCTTATGTGAATTACTTTTATGTATGTTGTTCATTTTAAAAATGTATATGCTACTTATTGTTTTTAGGAGTTCTTAATGTAGTGTGGTTACAGAATTACCTATTCTATAATTATCTTTCTAAAGTAGTAAGTTGTTAAAATGTGACATTCTGTTACTGTCAGTTTTCATTCATCAGTCAGAGAAAGGGTAACATGCCCTTGTCTTTCATTGCTTTCTCCCTAAAAGAAATCTCAGGTCATTTGTGACACTAAAAAGCTTTCAACAGATAATATTTTTATCTAAATGGAAAACATACATAAATAGGAACATAATTTCCACCATCAGTTGGAGAAAGGATATAAAAAGAACCATGTTAAGAAGTATATTAAGGGGCGCCTGCCTGGGTGGCTCAGTCGGTTAAGCGCCAGACTTCGGCTCAGGTCATGATCTCGCGGTCTGTGAGTTCGAGCCCCGTGTCAGGCTCTGTGCTGACAGCTCAGAACCTGGAGCCTGTTTCAGATTCTGTGTCTCCCTCTCTCTGACCCTTCCCTGTTCATGCTCTCTCTCTCCCTGTCTCAAAAATAAATAAAAACGTTAAAAAAAATTTAAAAAAAGGTATATTAAATTATTTTTAAGGAATCTGACAAGAAAAACAAATAAAAGACATCCAAATTGGTAAGGAAAAAGTAAAACATTCGGTATTTGAAGACGACATGATACCATATATAGAAAACCCTTGAGGGGCACCTGGGTGGCTCAGTCGGTTGGGCATCCGACTTCGGCTCAGGTCATGATCTCAGGGTCTGTGTGTTTGAGCCCCACGTCAGGCTCTGTGCTGACAGCTCAGAGCCTAGAGCCTGCTTCTGATTCTGTGTCTCCCTCGCTCTCTGCCCCTCCCCCACTCATGCTCTGTCTCTCTCTCTCTCTTTCTGTCAAAAATAAATAAACATTAAAAACAAAACCATTAAAAAAGAAAAGAAAACCCTTGAGACTCCACCAAAACTTCTAGTACTGATAAATGAATTCAGTAAAGTCACAGGATACAACATTCATATACAGAAATCTATTGCATTTCTATACATTCATAATGAAATAGCAGAAAGAGAAATTAAGAAAAACAATCCCATTTACAGTTGTACCAAAAGTAATAAAATACCTATTATTAGACAACCAAGGAAGTGAAAGCCCTGTACTCTGAAAACTATAAGACGCTGATGAAAGAAATTGAAGATGACACAAACAAACGGAAAGATAGTCCATGCTCATGGATTGGAAGAACCAATATTGTTAAAGTGTCCATACTGCCTAAAGCAACCTACAAATCTTATGCAATCCCTACCAAAATAACAACAGCAGTTTTCAGAGAACTAGAACAAATAGTACTCAAGTTTTTGTGGAAACACAAAGACTCTGAATAGCCAAAACAATCTTGAAAAAGAAGAACAAAGCTGGTAGGTATCACAATCCCAAATTTTAAGATATACTACAAGCTGTTTTGATTAAAACGGGGCACCTGGCTGGCTCAGTTGGTGGAGCATGCAACTCTTGAT